TATTTATGTAAATCCGCCCTTATATATTTTACTCGCTTTTAATATCCTCGCGATTTACAGCGCGTCGTCTTTGATTAAAATTAAAAAGTCCTTCGAAAATGTCTCACGGGAGGCGTCGCGACGCCAGATGGCTTTCACAAAGCGTTCCATCAATTTCGATTCGTTAAAACCGACAGCGGGCAGGCACTGATGTCAATTTCATTCTTTCCCTTGTTATTTTTCGCCAAAATGAAACTTTCCTGCCGCGAAAGTTCATCGGTTTATTCGCATCGCGTATAAAGTTATTGTGAATTAATTAATTTGCGAAATAATTATAAAATTAATTTTTCATAATTCTCATACGAGTCACTTTATATTTATTTATCAAACTTGTTACGCGTACACGGCATATATCGATATTCTATATTTTGTCCTAGCGGGTACACGTATCCGTTATCATTGCTAATTGATATAACGGGTTAATTAATAATTCGCCTGTATCACAGCTTCCCCAACAATAACAATAGTATCGTAAAATCCCACGAGCAGCAGTGAGCTTGCGAAATTAATATTCTCCCTAGTCAGTCCCTACAGGGTGGTACCTTAATAGGGCATAGGTGACGGACTGAAAAGGGTTGAAAGGTATTAGTTGTATGGTAACGATTAGACCTTCCGTAATTGCCAGAATATTGGGCACCTTGTTACATGGGTCTTTGACTTTTCTTACAATTACGTCAAACTTCACGCGTTATTCTAACGGTATAACAAGCGGGGTTCTGGGCACAGATTTTCGCACCGACATTTATCGAAACTTCGAGAACCTTCGAAGATTCGCATCGATGCTAAATTAACGTCATGGACCCCCCGGATTTCAAGGATTTTTACGGATAATAAAATATTATTCTAAATGGAGATACACCTTGTATACGTTTCATATAAAATCTTACAATTTATTATTTCACGTTAACACTAATCGTACCATCGACGGGTCATTTGGCCCTTTTAAAGCCAAAAATACGTTTATAAAAAATTGTCGGTATGTTTAGTGTTAAACTATGACTAATTGTACGTAGGACAGTCGAGTCGAATCAGTTTTCTGTGTTTTTGCTAAAACGCAATTAATTATGAGGGACGACATTCATCGAAACTTCGAGAACCTTCGAAGATTCGCATCCATGCTAAATTAACGTCGTGGACCCCCCTGATTTCAAGGATATTTACGTATAATAAAATATTATTGTAAATGGAGATACACCTTGTATACGTTTCATATAAAATCTTACAATTTATTATTTCACGTTAAACTATGACTAATTGTACGTAGGACGATCGAGTCGAATCAGCTTTCTTTGTTTCTGCTAAAATGCAATTAATTACGGAGATTTTATCTTATTTACTAACGGGTTATACCCAGTGTCCAATTATTCGTTTGCAATCTGGTGCAGATGGGAAATGCGAAATCAGCATTCAAATAGAAATTCCAAGTGGTAGCAAGATAGCTTCTTAAGGGTGCTGTTGAAATTTATAGGGTGACTCCTTGTTCTCTCGATATCAAAGACCTCTGTCACGTGGTTGGTTTCGACGATTTCGATGGTCATCAACGTGACGTCACAGCTCTTCGATACCTCCTAGGGGAAATCGCATCTCCGGGTATACCTAGGATTGCGAATTCTCATTTAATTTCGATACGTCCGTATTTCTACGTCTTGATTAATTACTAATGTGTACCTTTCGTTTCTTCTTTATTCTCTTATCTAATTCACAGTGTTCAAACTGTAGGAGATTCGGGGTATCGATTAACAGTGCTTTTGTATATACTGGCCCTGTTTGCATTGCAGCTAATATCTATTCGACCTGCTCGTTGATGCGGTTACCAGGTTATATATGTACAATTGTTTTCAGCCAAGGTAGAAAGGTACTATCAGCATTATAAATCATCAGTCACTTTGCGCAAAACAATGTTTCGTTTGTGTATATAATATATGAAGTATACATATACGCTGTATATACAAGAGAAACGACCCCCGGGTTTTTCTTTGTTATTCCTTTGTCGGTCTTTTCTCTATTCAGTTCTCGAATTCGTTTCGGCCGTTTACTGGTTCGTGGAATAACGGACTGTCGTAAGGTAAAATGCAGAACTGAGGTTAATTTAGGAATTTTTTACTCGAAAAAAAAAATAAAAAATTGTTAGCCTCTTGTATAAGACGTCATACTGCACATCGAATGAATTCAAGAATTACGAGTAGCGAAGTTTGCGGTTTTACCTTATTCTCCAAAATTCACTTCAGAACCTGTCGCACTCCACAACACATCTCTCTCTCTCTCTCTCTCTCTCTCTTTGAGTATTCGAAATTCCGCTACGTATTAATACAACATCCAACGTGTCGGTGCGGTTGCGGTTCTCCTGTCAGCCGGATATTTAGTCCCAGTTTCATTTCCGTTAAATTTGCTCCTACGCCACTGCGGAACCCGATAGTCAGTGTTAACATTAAAAAATCCATCTGACATCTTTACATCTTATGACGATTAAGATCCGTCATTGATCGTCATGAAACATTTTACGATTGCTATACGTCATACGTGAATTTCGTTTCCTTTTTGAATTTCGTCCATTCGAAATGCTATTTTAAGATTATTTCCTGTTCTTCTTAGATCCAAAATCACGTGACGAGTTGCCGTCGGATGCGTTTATCGTTTCATGTGTTTCCGCGAAACGAAATTTCCGCGTATACATATGCTGGCACGAAGTTCAGAAAAAAGTTTCTATTAAAGATCTTGAAAGAGACTTTTGGTCTGTTTCGAAAAATTGTGCGACAATTTGATGGAAGATTTCTTTTTTTCACTCTGGTATTTTTTTTGTCAGTATTATTACTTGTGTATGATCTAGTGACTATGGTGGGGCTATTCTCTGGATTTTACATTTTTTATCAAGGTTCGAAATAATTTTTGCGCAAAATGTTCATTTTTTATCTCTCAAAGAGGATGGCACCATTTTTTCTGATTGTGTAGTACAGATGAGAAATAATGAAAGCGGTATACGAAGAACTTCTAACGAGCTACGAAACTTCTATTTTGTATATATATACCGGGTGTCTCACCGAAAGCACACTTCGAGTATTTCCGTTACTATTGAAGATACGGAAAAAAGTTTCAAACAAAAGTTGTATGGTTTCGAGGGAGTTGATTTTTCATCCAAATGACTTTTTATTTTATATTCATTAGATTTCGAGATACAGCACCTAACATATGGTTTTTAAAAAAAAAAGTCATTTTCTGTTGGTACAAGAGAATGTAGCTCGTTCTTCTTTTTCTCAACATGTTAAGACCTTGCAGACTAAAATCCATACAGCCATTTTCAATAAGTTATTGACAAGTGAATTTATTGAAACTTCGGTTGAGAAATTAAGCGCACGAACCCAAAATCTTCTAGCGGCGTTGCAATAAAGTTCTTTAGACGGCAATGAAATTCCGTAACGTTTGAGTCTTTGAATATTCATGCAGTCGAGTAAGGAAATTTCGAAAAAATGTCTGCCGGTACGTCCTGCGGCGGAACAACAATATATACATATATACATGCACACAAAAGAAAAAGAGAATATTCCAAAAGTCATTTCAATAAAAAAAAAATGCCTAAATCCTATTTACCCTCAGGCTCGATAAACCAGCAATCCTACTGTTTCGTTAAAAAGATGCAGCAACGTTGAAAAAGACGATTAAACTTCACAGTAACATATCGATCGATATCGCCGCCGCATTAACATACCCGGAGGCCGTACAATTTTTATCACACGACTCACGCTTCGTATTACATATCCACGGTGTTCCCGAAAGTTTCTATACAGCTTCCAAAGAAATCTTTCGATATTCATACGGTGTCTCGAATCAATTGAATACTTAAAATCTATTTAGCACCTACGCGATCTTTCGTTTTTTGAAGGAAAAAAAAAAAATCACACCAATCAAATCTATGTAATATTTAATCAGCGTGCGAGACGTGAATTTTAAATTATGCGAATGAAATAAAAATGAAATAAAAAAATTTAATAAATCACAAATTACGTGAAATTATCAATTACATTTATCCCACCCTTTTCATTCACTCGCGATAACTTGTGGATACGTTCCTTAGGCGAACTTTAACCTTTGCGTGAAAACATTAATTCCGGTGCTTAAAAGCTTTTATACGGTATATATATATATACGAAGCGTAGGTATCCATACTTGGAAATATGACGAAAATCTGAATATATATGTCAATGGGTGTTTCTTTCGAGATATTATTATCGGCAGTAAAAAAAAATCGAAACCGTAAAAGTCGAATTAGGCGAGTCCAGAATTGAAGATATTTTTGTAATAGCATCGCCGAATCATGAAGATCGTTAAGGGGGATTTATGTGCCGGGATAAGGAGGCCGGGAAAATGCTTTGCACGAGAACGAGAGAAGCCTTCGTGGAAGGTTTTGGATGGAATGCGAAGGGCCGCGTCGAGAAAGATTCCCGGTACTCGGTATATATGTATATATATATATATGAGACGCTTAAGGGTGGAAATTGATTTACGTTCAATGTAGAGGCCAGAGAAAGCTCTTAAGTCACTTTCTATAGTACTGCCGTTAGATGGCTGTGGATAAATTTTCTAAGACTATTTATCAGTCATTTTCCTTTTAGCGTTTCTTCATTACCTGTACGCGGCCATCATTGAACTTGTACGATTAATGATTTATATATCAGGTATACAGTCAGTCGATCATCAACCCCTTCGGTTCGTCACGTGTTCAGAACACGTGTATTATGGTTGTATAGTAAATATGACGTATCGATGACATAAAAATTTGTAGTGATTAATTTAGAAATTGATTTTTGAAAAATGGCAAGAAATATTTTTCAAGTCACCCTCGACACCTGCTATTGACTTTATTATTGTATGAGTAAAAATATATACAAAATTTTTATCGATTCTGATCTTGTATGTTCGTTTTGAATTTGTATTAAGATTTTAGAAAAAAAAATTTTTTTTTACAGGTTACTTTCCACTTCCGGCTGTCTACTGTCTAGCTTGGATTTGTCTGGATGTCTTGTTCTGCACTGCCAGTATAATGCATCTCTGTACCATAAGTGTCGACAGGTACTTGAGTCTGCGTTATCCCATGAAATTTGGACGCAACAAAACAAGACGACGTGTCATATTGAAAATTGTCTTCGTCTGGTTACTCAGCATCGCCATGAGTCTGCCGTTGAGTCTGATGCACTCCAAGGTGAGTATTTTGACTTTGAGATTTATCATACGTGAACGAAATATCTATGAGGAGCCTTTTTTTGGGAAATAACAAAAATTGGACTTATTTTTTTCGTAATTTGAACATTGCCGAGATTCGTTAGTTTTTTTTTCTTTTTTTTTTTTTTTTTGGAAATATATGTAAATTTACGAGTGCCAAGTAACAGAACAGATGGAGTCGTGTAATTCATTCTATGTACGTTAAAAGCCGATCCGTCTTACTGCTGTAGAGATTTTATAAAAAAAAAAAAAAAAAAAGTTACGCAACATCCGCCTGTATTCCCAGTGGAATAACTCTGTGGGTAAAGAAGAGAGCATGGGAATCAATGGAAATATCATAGATTTATACAGTCATCCATGAATTTACATATGGTTTTTTTTCCCTAATTCCAATGATCGATGAGATACCGCATATCGTATTGGAAATAAAAATTTGTGTATTATCCGTAAAGATAAGAGTAACAAATAAAAATGTTATCTTTGCCGATTCGAACAAGACAAATTTATATTTTATTTCCTTATTACTATATACTTACTTGCTATGCAGAAGTGTTCGATTTCGATAAAAAAATATTTATATACCTCGCTTCCTTCGTTTTACATAAGAATTTACATAAAAAATAATCTATCTTCGTATTACACGTATTCACGGTTAGTCATTTTGAACGAGAGGGTTCTTATCTTCGTATTACGTCGGAGTATATATCCTGAGATTGAGATTAAAGTGAACCAAGCGTTTTCCATTCGAGTTCAAAGAAAAAACCAAGATGAAAAAAAAGGCGAAACAAATGGGCGACTTCCCATGAAAAATTTCGCGCTTCCAGTCGCAATTTATTACTCGCACAAGGCTCCATTGTAGGGACTGTTGAATGATGACATCCGATAGGATTTTGTGTGGCGATTAACAAAAAAAAAGAAAAAAAACAAAGAATGGAAAAGAGCCCGTGCGATGATAACGTAGATTATTTTTCACTTGGTTCTATATTTTATATATTTTTATTCCACCCATCCTTATACAACTTTGCAAGATTTATCGCGTGGACAATTAATTGAAAAAGTATCGCTATCCGCTATCATTCTATCGGCCAATGCAATAATACCATATATATACAGTTTCGAGTCACGTGATGGATAAAAATATCCGTCACTTTTGTCAGCGAGTAATTAAAACTGTTTCTCGTCTCTCCAATTTATTCTTAGCTCATACAAAATTCACAAGGGTTTAATCGAAGTCGATCGATTCCAATGGACAAAGCTGTCTTTAGCTGCTGAAATCAATTTTTTACCCTCTGCCATGACTCTCGTATCTGACAGTCATTATTTATAGGTTATGTATACCTATTCTCATTCGCTTTCAGTAATTTGACTGGAAGCACCGACACGCACAGATATACAAATATATGGAGGATAAACGTGACTCACTTTGTATTTTTCACGTGTCAACGAGTCCATTATAAGCTTTTGGCTCTATTTCTGTCGTGTCATAATACAGTAAAGAGTAATAATGGCAGAGGCCATGTTGCGCGTAGTTCGCGCCTGCGCAGTTGGATCGTGATCGTGCCCCATTCGATTTACCCATTTAACACACGTTGGCCAGAGAGAGAAGAAACTTTGTAATTACGCAATGGAACACAATAGGAATGAATTACGTTGAAATCAATACGGCAGGGCTATTACACGTGGCCGACGTAACAGTGGGGATGGTTTTCGTACGTGGAGTTAATTTTTTTTCTGTATGCAGGCATTATCGGTAATTTCTGTTCATCGAGCAGTGGCAACGTGGTTATGGGAGTTAATTCAAGAGAACGCTTTAACGCGGTGCATTCCGTTCAATTTATCGTTGAATATTTCAAGAGAGCTTAATACTCTCTTTATTATTAATTCCCCGTAGCGAGGCGCGTCATTAAAACTTTCTGAAATTCACCGTTGGGAAATTACGAGTCCAAGGGTTACTTAACCATCGTGAAAATTAACCTCGTTTCTTTGATTCCCATTGGACGGAATGTGTCTGCCCCTTGGCTCTCCTCCACCACTTGGTGAGACTCTGGATATACTTGTTATTACCGCTTCCCTTTTTTCTCGTAATTCACGACGGCTGTAAGACTTCTCTTTCGAACTTGTACAGTTTTACAATTTAAAGTTGCGTGACTGGACTGGATGGCAATAATGTTATTGAAGGATATAAGACTAAACGAAAAAAATAAAGCAAACGATAAATACACAAGTATCGATATCTTAATTATATTTTATATAAAAGAAAGATATATCGTTAATAAAAAAAGGATTTTTAGTGGAATCGCCAAATCGCTGTTAGGGGATTTTATTAGGGTATTTACGATTTCTTTTTTCTTTACTGACAAAGCATATCTACCTGTTTGTGTGCACATAGAGTATGGCGGGGCACATGAGAATAGGGTGAGTGTTAAAAGAGGAAAATGGAATTTAAGTGTAGTATGACAGTGAAAGAGGACGGGGGGGAGAGAGAGAGAGAAGATTTCAAAATTTCGCCTGGGGCTTTGTAACGATTGCGTTGCTATAATAGGAAAGTTACACAAAGAGTACCTTTAAAACAACAATATTAAACGTAGCATACTTTGACCAACTTTTAATCTGCATTCATACTACCGATGTAGCCCTCTAGAATTCTTTACCTTTGCGCTGTGGAATTTCAATTATCGAAATTGACGTTGCCGTAAGGAAATGTTATTAAGGTCCAATCTCCTTCGACTTACCCGAAGAAGAGACTCCCTTTGCGCGATTTTCCCTCCAGGGGCAATAGATATCTACTCTCAGACTGACCTTAGGTCATGAGTGTGGTGGCCAAAGAAAAAATATATATATGTATTAAAATACATAAATATAATTAACTAGGGGAGAGTTGTGTATTAGATACATCTTTTTAGTATAAAAATTAAAATATTATAGTTGTGGTGCAATATATTTAAGGTTACCGAAAATATTTTTTATGTGTTAACAGAGATTGGGATTTTTGGGATGATATGCGAAGAAGCTTGTAGGTCATTGGTTGACAAATAGAAAGATCATAGACAGTTGTTGAAACGATTTTTATTAAATGACAAAACCACTCGTGTCTACATATTATGACTGAAGGAAAACTTATGTCTGCTCAGGGTACGTGACACTGACTGCACTATCTTTTGAATCGGGATTCGCAATTTAGAATTTAATCCTGTTTTCGTTTCTACGCTATAGTGTAATAAATGATTCATGGGTTCGTTATTGGAGAAAATTCTAAATAATATATTAAACTGCATTAATATGAATCGTAGGAATTAATTTGACTCCGGTACAGAGAGCTCAAATGTATTCTCGGATTCAATTTAATCTTCGGTATACTCGAAGGGTTCTGGAGGATCAGCTTCTTTCTCCTCGTCGGGTTTCGGTCCGAAAGCTGAAATACAGGACTTAACATTAGACAGGCCGACATAAACAAAAGCAGAAGGGACAGACGTGGCATAAAGGTAGACAGGAAGTGAAAAAGAAATAAAGGTTGAGAAAGAATAGCGATTAAAGGATTAGGTCCATGAGTTCGAAACATGTGCGAAAGTGCGAACAGTAGAAAGAAGCTAATTGGCAAGGGTGAGAATATGGAAATACTAAAAAAAAATACTGATAGCCAGATTGACAACGTTGAATCAGGTGAAGCACGTGATTTATGGATAGGCAAGTTAATCAAATGAATATCAACTCACCGGCCACTGGTTCAACAAGCTCCTCTTCGGTATCCGGCTGATTATACTTCACCATTACAATACCCCCAATACTCACGTCCTTGACAGGAACGTATTGGCTACCTTCGACAAGCTGAATAACCTTCAATTGTTGTCGCAGAATCCTCGCGGGATTTTGAAGGATTTCAAAATTGGGTTCCGGCTCCTTCTTCTCCTTTTCAGTCTTCTCAGAATCATCCTTTGTCTTCTTATCGTTCTTCTCCTTAGCGTCCTTCGCCTCCTTTGCTTCCTTCGCTTCCTTCGCTTCCTTCTCCTCTTTTTCCTTCTTCCTCTCCACCTTCTCCTTAGCATCCTTCGCCTTGTCCTCAGCCGTCTCTTTACTGTCACTGGGTGAAGGATCCTGATTGGAGTAGAAAAAATAATTTTAAAATGACACTCCAGATCGAGTATCCCATTTCGGAGCAGAGACACGATCAGGATCCATATCAAAAGAATATATTATCTCATAGCGAAAACCATAAGGATTCTGATGAACCTCACTCACCACTTCCATCTTCTCATGAGAATCACGAGCACGTCTCTCGGATTCACGACGTCGCGCACGAGCAGCAATGCTCAGCACAGCTGTAGTAACTTTTTCACGTTCCTCGCGTTTCTTTTCCTCCAGTGGAGCAGGATAAGCATACATGCTTGGTCTAGCATTGGATCTGATCTCCAGCTTGGGCATCTTCAGCTGAGCATTCAGGGCGATGATGCAGGTAGGAGTGAAGGCCAGAGCGAGACAATGGGCCAGAGGGAACCAATACCAATACTGAGTGAATACCAGTGCACCAACGACAGCCAGCATATTGGTATGACCAGTTCTGGACTGAAGAGACACAGTGACGTTGCGACCACCTGAAAGAAGGATAAATGGAATAAAATTGTAAAAATCGATCGGACGCCATTGAAGGATAAACAACGAATCCCCTTACCGGCATCAATGATACCCTGAGCAAGGATAGCACCAAACTTCGCCATGACGTCCTCATGCTTGTCGACGATAACTTTGGCATACAATGCCCTGAAGTCCTTGACTCTGGGACACGTAGTTTCTGTCTGCTGTATTAGGATCATGGCCGATGCTATGAGGGCACCCTGCCGTACAAAGTTCACGGGGTCATTCGTCATCGGATCCAAAAGTGCTATGGCTTCCTTGAGACCGGTACCAGCGCAGGCTATACCCAAAGCCATGGCTGCGCCATATCTCACGTGAGGATTGTAACTCTCGGCCAGCAAGGAAACGACACTTGGACATTGCTCCGGTGTTCTGAAATCAGATAAAAATTTCAGCTTAATTAATATTTCGTTATAATCTGTCTGGAAAAATGAAATTTTTATTTTTTCGAAAACTGTAAATAGACGTATTCCTGAATTTCATTGTCCGTCTGACTTATCTAATCATTTTATTTATTTTCTTTTTTTTAGGACGATGACTCAGTACTGGTAGATGGGACCTGTCAGATACCTGATCCACTTTACAAGCTGATAGGGAGCATTATTTGCTTCTACATTCCTCTTGGGGTGATGCTCCTGACTTATGCACTGACTGTTCGACTCCTGGCTGAACAACGTCAGAATATCGGCGGAGCTGCAGGTTGGTCTTCTGGATGGTTAGGTGGGCCCCAGGGTACACCCGTAGGAGGTTAGTGTATTCAGAGGGTACACTGAACCAGGGTAGAAAGAACGGTACCACGTACATAGAAAACAACCTTAATCCAGGATAAATTCGATAACGTCTGTTTGCGATGGCTGCACTCTCTTTTTCTGCTAGGCCAATGTACGCACGTGTATTCTAAATGGAATTTACAATAACGCCCTATAAAGACTCTCGACTCAGACTTCGACAAAGTCACAGACTGTTCTTCTCATTACTAATTGACATTTCCTGAGCTGCCTGGTCGCTAACCCTTTCATTTCTCCGGCATACGTTATTCATAAAGATGGATTCGTATAACGCCCACGACATTCATTTACTCCGACTAACGCCACTTGCTTTGGGCAATCACTGCATATTATATGACGCGCTGAAATATCGTCAGGGACCTTTAACACAGGTTTTAACGTAATCTGAAAATACCTATAGACAGACGTATATAACAGAAATAGATGAGGGTCAATGAAATTTTCGTAACCCTTGGGTAATCTCGTTCTCAAAAATTTTTTTTTTACAAAAAATTATTCTCCTGTCGCAATACTCATGCAAAACTCAAACGCATCCTGAACAAGGGAGATGAAGGTTGTTAACCGAGATCTGCCGAATGTTAAGCCACGAAGATGCTAAATTAATAGGGTGGGTGAGGAGGGGAGTTCTACGTTTTATTAGGAAGTTATGTTTTACACAGAGTGTATTTTCTTTCTTTACTTCACTACTGTCTACTGTATTCCTGAATTTCCCTCCCTTTCCGCATCACCGAGAAGAGGCACTTCCTCTCTTGGGTGCTCGACGAATTTCAGTCCTCGTAATTGGTAGGAATTATTCGCGGTGGAAGATTTCCAAGCTGCTTTACAAAAAGAACACCCCGAGGGTCAACACGAGGAGACGTGAGTCTACAGCGAGGAACGAGTAATTGCGATTTCGAGAAAGACACACTTAGAGATACAGGACTACCCAATTGCCTGTAAAACGTAAGAGAGCTTGGAGGTTCGCAAAGAATTTTTTTATATGAAAAAAAAAAAAAAAAAAAAAAAAAAACCCAAAAAAAAAAAATTTTTTTTTTTTGGGTTTTTTTTTTTTTTTTTCATGAAAAAAAAAAAAAAAAATTTTTTTTTTTTGGGTTTTTTTTTTTTTTTTTCATGAAAAAAAAAAAAAAAAATTTTTTTTTTTTGGGTTTTTTTTTTTTTTTTTAAAAAAAAAAAAAAAAAAAAAAAAAATATCACCAAAAAAAAAGTATTTTTTTCTCTTTTTCACTGAATTCGCGACAAAGCAAATCGATCGTGTAAAGCAAATTTTTTTTATCGTCAGCACCCCTTCACTCGTATACGTAATGTAAAGGGGAGGTGCGAAAGATGCTAATTGTCCCAAGGAGACTTCACCCTAGTCTCGCGATAACGCGGGCGACGCTATCGTTTTGCGAAAGGCATGAAATTGGCTCGAAGGTGCAGGGAGAAATGAGCTTTTGTAAATCGGAACGCGAGAACCACCCCCAAGAGGTATTAACCCTCTTCGAGATTTCCATCTAGCGCAATCAACGTGCAAAATAGAGGCATGCATTTTTGTGCCTTGAATTTTCAAACTCTAAGCTCGACTCCACTTTAGGTCGGTTCATCGACGTCCAGTTATGGCTGGACGTAAAAGCATAAAGAACGATCACGCAATGCAGTTTCCACATAGACGGGAGGATGAATTTAAACTGGAAAGCGTTTTGCTCTTTTATTTATTCTAGGTCTGCCCTTAATTATACCAGTGAGTTGGCAGTCCTGAATACGGTACCTGAATACAAATATACAGCTTCTGACAATGAGTGAAGCACGGCGATAGACTTACCATTAGGTTTCATCGTGACCCAATACCATTATTGAAATACCAATATCATTTTTGAGGTTAACCCTGATATTAACTTTTGTTTTAACAGTCTTGGAAAGGCGCTGCACCTGGAGACGATTACTCCTGAATAAAGGATCCGGCGGAAGTGGCGGTACGCCGCAGCACACTTCCGGCGCTTCCACCGACACCGAGCTAACCACCCTGGACACCCACGAACTCTGGTTACCGGAAAGCGAACCGCCGCCTTCGGCCATGTCGGCTTTACACGCTTTTGGCGCTGAGATGCTGAAATTATCCAGAGGCCTGGAAGGAATGGCCAGTCCAGCCACTCAGACACCAATTTCCAGCAACAGGTCGACGCCTCATCATCAGTTAACTAGCCATCATCATCATCATCATCACCACCATCATCATCATCAACAGCAACAGACTGCAATACCTCAGCATCGATGTAGCATTCGCAATGGGTAAGGGAACTTATTGCGCTAGACTTTTGACTGTGGTCCAGCTGCTGGTTCTTCATCTTTTACAGTGTACTGCTACGTATACAGGGTGTCTTCTTTTTTTTTTTTCGTTACGCATTTCAGACTAACAATAAAAGAACTAGACGGTATAAGTGGGTTTTATGAGTGTCACGCAAGTAAGGATCGGTGAAAGGTCATTCGTTTATGGAGGGGGAAAAAAAAAAAGAAAAAAAAAGGTGTTTCCCGGAATTGAATATAGTGGCTTGGGTGAGTATACGTATTACAGGAAGTGAGGAGCATCGATCAGCTCTCTCTCTCTTTCTCTCTCTCTCTCTCTCTCTCTCTCTCTTCCAATGCCTAACGGTAATCCAGATGGGATACAATAGGTTCCATCAAGCTCGATCGTAAATTTTCAAGCCGAAACGAAATTTCTCGTCAAAACTTCAGCCGATAACCGAAACCCTCGATTCCGCTTCGTTTATGCGGGGAGCTCGAGGATTCCGTTTCCACCTATAGTAGGAAAAAAAAAATAACCCATAATTTACAACATACGCATGAGAGACACAGGAGATCTGAAGATACACATGAATATTGTATCATCGAATTATTAAAAAAAAATTTCTAAATAATTTTTATCCATCACAAAATGCAGTGGATGAATTATCGAATAATTAATTGTACCGATATCCGGTGTATCAACTCAGAGGTCACCCGATGCCTATTACCCGTGGGTAAAGCTCGCGATACGAAAGCACGCGTGGAGATGAATTTTCTTCGGGGAAAACGAAGTTACGAAATTCGTAGAAACGCCCAGAAGATTAATAGGAAACGTAACGGGGCGCATGAAATCTAGTTTCTCAGACTCATACATCTCGGCCAATAATAGAATGGCCACTATTTTCAGTATAAACGCGAAAACCGGGTAAAACATGAAATAGGGGAGAATATAATCTCGCGAGATTCATATACAGGAATATATATCCGGTGCATTGACGCTGCAGATGCAACACGAAGATCTTGAATTCATGTAAGACGCCGGGGAATGGCCTCTCGATGATTCATGTTGCCGACGAAGTCAAGAGAAATCCCGAGAGGGATTTTCTTGAGGGACGTTTCTTTTCCGAGACGCAAAGATGGCTGCCGTTTGAATCAAGGAAGAAAGTCAATAGTGAAATTTATTGAATATCCATTGAATTCGTAATTTATTTTTTTTTTTTTTTTTACGGAAAGACGAAATTTCAGAATATCACCAAAGTGCCAGATAATTATTTTTGCGCGAAATCAAACGGGCCCGAAATACTTTTGGTTGCAAATTCTTAATGGGAAAAAAAACAAAAATGTAATTTGTCCGTTTACCCGAATCGAAAAAAAATTTCAAATTTGTTTTCCTTCACTCAATATCCGAACTGTTTCTTCGAAACGATAAAATTCAAATAATTACGTCGTAGACGCACGCAAAAGAAAAATAGCCCGATTCTTCTCCAATATCCCGGTCTTAATTGACATCCGCCGGAAGGGACCGATTGTTTGCCCGGGATATTTCAAATCCTTAGAAACGAAGCCAACGTACAAGTTCCCGACGAAGATTGCCTGTCCGTTAATGACTGAGATCCGAAACGGAGTGGGAGATCGAAATTTATTTGAAACAGAGGAAACTGGCAGAGGGCTCGTAAGTAAAGGGGTTTGCGAGCTGACAGTCACTCGAAGGTACTTGAGACGTTCGTATAAGGGATGCGAGGGGTGCGAGGGGTGCGAGGGGTGCGAAATGTATATACAAGCCACAAGGTTTATACCAACGACTGACGTTTACGGTCCGTGGAGTTTTCCGTCGAGCTGTAATCACGAGGACATAAACAGACGTACCAACCCCATTTAGCGAAGCGTCAAACGAGAGGTTACGTTGGTCACCCTCTGGAATACTGGCACTAAGGGACGTTTTACAGGCGATACGAGAGACCCCCGTAAAGCACATATAGGAACTACGCCGATTAGACCTTTCGAGTATGCAGTGACGTCATCCGTGGTTGTAAGATCGGCTTAAGGGTTGCTTAGAGCTACTACAACCCTTAACAGTGGTTAAGGGTGAATTGGTCAAAGATAGAAATCCAATAGTGAATTCCGTGCAGGCGTTGACCGAAGATGATTGAACGATTAAATTTCTTAGATCAAGAAGAGCCGAGACCAAGGTTCAGTACGCAAGGGTACCCGGTGGCGAATACACTCAGGTGGGAAAATAAAATTTGAATTGAATCGACGTATGGGCTGGTTAGTTACGGTCTAGACAGCCATAAGGGATCTACCTGGATTGCTGTCACCGAATTGAGCAAGGTCCTACGAGCAAGCTTTGGCGAACAAGGATTTACCTCTAAGCCCGTTTGCCAGCCTCCTCGATGGTAACAGGACCAAAACGGCCACCTAGCCATTTTAGTCAACGGCAGCTCCCATTTACCGACAGGGCCCCTTTATGGGATCTTATTGTGCTCGCCCTATGGCGAATAACAATAATATATTACCCTTCAAGGGATGCACGCAGCGAAAGCTCCTTGCACAGTGAACGAGCTAAAACCCCTCAGTCACTTCGAGTCGACCTTGACTCCATTTATCTCAACTGTCTTCCAACCCCCTTTTACACAGATACACGTGTATCTATAGCATACCTCTGAAAATTGTCACACGAGCTCTGCCCTTGGCTTATGGAATTTTAATTTTAAAAAGTCAAAGGACGATCTTCAGTGGAGAATTTCATTCGTGACGTAACTCAATGAAAAGGCCGGGTCGACGAGGGGAAGAGGTCAAAAGTCATTACCGAGCAAATTCAGGGAAACACCAAAAACTACCCCTGTAAAACGTTGTTGCGCTTTCAGAATTTTTCTTGACCCTCCGCTATGCTACTCGCGGTTCCCCCTCCACTTACGCCGCTAATTATGCACTCGTAAAATTCATTACGTGAATCCCCCCCCGCCGCCTCCCCAATTCTCTTGCCAGTTGCCACAATGAAATCGCGAAGCCCCATCCTTCACTCTGAACATTGTACTGAATCTTTCGGCATAAAAATACAAAGGGTTCCAGTCGGGCTGAACAAGGTGGCATAATGAAACGAGCTTAATGGCGGCTCGTGACGACCCACGGAATATACATAACGTAATATTGAATTAGTACCGAAGAACCAACCCTAGATGGCGTACCGTCGTTCGTCTTATAAAAGGGGGTCGAGACAATTAATTTATGTCGACGTCATAACTGCTACGATTTTGGGTTAGTCCGTGATACACGCTTAACCCTTCATCCCCCGTGCGTGTATAGCTTTCATATAAAAACGCATGCACGGAACAGATTCATCCGAAAGGGGTAGTACAGGCTGCACGTGTTTACGAGCATAAGTATACCAAAGAGCCACTACGTGATAGAGTCGGTTTCGGGTAATAAACGAGGAAGCTGAAGTTGGCTGAGAGAAAGGAACGTGCACGAGGTCAGAACAATTTCCTGACTCTTGATGGCTTCCAAGCGCCCAAGTACGAAACGAATGACCCCGCGATCAGTGCAAGACTGCCGCATCGAGGTGCCTTAAAGTCATAAACTCTTAACCGGGCTGTGCCAGGAACACCGGATAGGACAAAAAAGTGGAAAATTTTACATGATTGTAAAAAAAAAAATTATGGACGTTACGACACATATTTTTTTTTGAATTTGTAAGCGACTATACGCGATTCTCTTTCACTCGTTACGTCCATTCTTCTTTTTCTCTAGAATTCTTCGACCAAATTATTTCCACTGGGCCGATTTAAAGTGACTTTTCGCGTTTCACGTTTTCACGCTCGTCAGAGCTTATAGAGCTCTGACAAACAAGGCAATTAAAGAGTACCTTATCTGCCGGTACCCTATCTACCCTTAGTTGGTACACGAACCACTGTAGCTAAATACCGGTAGCGTAAAAGCCCCGCTGCGAGTTGCCCGCTTGGTTGTTACTTTTCATCTTGAAACTAATTAAAAGTTGACGAGCAATTTTACATAGAAACGTTTACTTTTCTATGCGAGTACGGCCATTGTAGGATCGGCATAAAGAATTTCGCGAGCCTGGTACAACAGTATGTATTCGTTACGTAATTTTTTTTTTTTTTTTCGTAAAAAAAATATTTAGAGGTTAAAAACGAAATGTAGGGAAAAATTTCATCCGAGTGAACTTTGCATCGGAATTTTCTGGTGGGTCGCCACGTGGATATATGACCTTTATGGAAATATCGGACTACGAACACATGGAGCTATAATTGACTAACTTCACTCGAGAGAGTTCTCCACGTCAGAAAGCCGCTTACTTAAGAGGCGACCACGAAGCTGCAGCTACCATCGAGAACGACCACTCTGTGGCACTTTGAGTACGGACCATGTAAAATCTATGAGTTTAAGTGCAGGTCCTGTATCTACTGACAATATACCTTGGATATATATAGATATAGCAAGGTAAAGTTAAAATTATGAAATTATCACGGCTCTCACTTATATTTGAGTATCCAACATTAAAATTTATCCCTTCTCTCCCATCGTAAAAATTTGCTCCCTTTATCTTTGTTTTCGCGTAAATTTTTATCTACAATCGTCCCATTGAGAGCAATGTACTATTTCCCTTTGAAATCCATAAAAACGTGTCTTTACGTCCGTAACGAAGCGCCGCGGAGTAACAGCGCAGTCCTTCGTAGTAGGACAAGACCCGATGGATACAGCACGGTCGCGACCTTTTGAAGATTCAAAGGGATAGACTGCGAGAGAGAAGGGAATCAAAGAAATGGGAAATAATTAAAAAAAAAAAAAAAATGTACAAGGAGAATCCTTTGGTGATGCTGTACCGTGGCAAAGACCGTATTCGTTTTCAGAAACTGAGTTATTTCATTAACTTGCTACGGATAATGAAATATGACGGCAGAGTTTATTTTCGTTTCCCTTCAAAGGCAATTCCTGAAGTAATCTTTTTTTTCTTTTTTCTTTTTTTTTTTTTTTTT